AATGGGGGTGGGCCCAATCATTTTGTCTTCTCTGTCCTGCACTCTTCCATGACGGGCCGATTAAGTTTTGTTCTTTGACCCATTTTCTAAATTTCATGTGGGGGATCGGCCTTCCCCTGTCTGCTTGGTGCGTAGCCTTTCTAGTTCCCCCACCAAACAATCTCACCCGCAGCTGTTTGGACCACGCGGCTCTGCGACACCATGGCGCCGACGCTCTCGAAGCCCGCGGCGATGCCGTGGCCAGCGACGACTCGCCCCGCCTCCGCGAGCCACGACTCCGCGCCGCTGCGCGAGGCTCTCAGCGCCAAGGCCAGAGCTAAAGCGGATGCCAATAATCAAGATCGAGCTGAGGCTCCAGGGGAGCAGATGGAGCTACAGTCGGAGACCGATGCGACGTCGGCCGTGATGGAAGGGGTCACAGGGGGGGCGAGCGCGGGCATTGACCCGCCCAGCAAGGGCGCGCCGCCAGCCGCGGAGGAGGTCGCATCGGAGGTGGGGCGCCCGATGGCAGTGGCTGAGGTATCGGGGCAGCTCCGCCGCGCGCCTCGCCCTGACCAGAAGGTGGATCTCTCTGAGAGCGACATCTCTGAAGAGGAGTTCGCACACGTTCCCGAGGGCTCAGCATCCGTGCCCAGCGCTTCGGAGAAGCCCGCTGCCGAGGGGCGGGGAGGTACGGGGACAGCCCCCGGCGCCTCTCCGCCCAGCGGCGCGGGGGCCCCCTTGCCTGCGAAGCACGCCGTGGCAGCCAGCCAGGCCGCGCTGCGCGCGGTGCCGTGCGCGGGTCTCGCCGAGGACCAGAAGAGCGGGTTGGACAAGCTGACATTGGCGCTCCAAGCCATGCAGTTACCGGAGCAAGCGGGCAGAGGGTCTGCATCGGGGGCCCGCGGCGGCCCGGGCGAGGCGCCCAGCGCCATGGGCGGCAGCGAGACATGCAGTAACGCGCCGAGCGCGGCCACGACGGATGGGGCAGGGCGGGGTTCCAGACGGAATCGCCGCCGAAGCAACAGAACGGCGCATGGCCAAGGAAAGCAGAGGGCAGAGGGGGGCGCCGACGCCCTGGCGAGTGCGGAGGAGCTCGCGCGGGAGGGCTACTGGTCCGTGGGCTGGGAGTTCTGCGTGGGGACTTACTGGGCGCGACTACGTCGGCTGGGCTGGCGTCGTCTCTGCTCGGCCCTTGATGACTGGAAAGTCATGGAGATAGAGTGGGTTGAGGACCTGTCGACGGCCGAGATGGCCCGCGCCAGCAAGCTCTGGGCGCGAACCCCAGTTACCCTGCGCTGCGGAAGGGGCGAGGTGGGAGGCCATTGTGCCTGCTCCTGCTCCAAGTGCGTGGCCAGGCACGAAGGCGTCGACGAGCGCGAGGCAGTCACGAAGGCGGCGAGGACCAACGAAGGCACGGGCTCAACCCAGCACTCGCGCGACCGTGTTGCCAAGCTCCAGGAGTCCTTCAACGCGCTCAGGGACGGCTTGGATGCGCTGGTGGGCTACGCCCCCTCTGAGGATGGAGAGCCGGCCCTGCGGCGCGCCGCGACGGGCGCGGTCGCGGGCGTCGACGGGGCCAGCGCGGGGGCACCGCCTGCCACGGAGGAGGTTGCAAAGGAGGTCGGGCGCCCGATGGCGATGGCGGAGGCGCCGGGGCGGCCCCGCGCGCCTCCGCCACCTGCCGAGGACGACGCTGCCGAATGGGAGATGACAGCAACGCCGCGCCCCGAAGCATCGGCGGGCCACGAGCCCGCGTCAGAGGAGCCTGGCGGCCGCGACGTGAGGCTGGTGGAGGACGTCGCCGACGCCCACTCCCTCATCAGGATGGGCCACTCCAAGAAGACGCTCAAGCGCATGCCGAGGTGCTGTGGCGCAGTGCGGCACGAGACCCTGCGGGCGCACATCGGGGGGGGGGCCAGGGCCATTCTCGAGATGAGGGGTGGCGTGATCCGAGCGGCGAACTGCGCGAAGGGCTTGGAGACCTGGTTCGAGAAGCTGGGCGCCGCGGCAGAGGGTCGCCGCGCGGCGAGAGCTGACGTCGATGCGGGGGGGGGCCGCGTGCGCGGCCGAGGGCGCCAAGAAAGGCCCGATGGAGGCGCGCGGCCGCGCACTTGGGCAACCGGCGGGCCGTCGAGGAGGGGGCGGGAGGCGATGGGGCCGCGCGGGGGGCCTTCCGCAGGATGGCTGATTACTCCGACCAGTTCTTCTCGGACGACCAGTTCACTATGAACATGCGCTGAAGTGTCGGGCGAGCAAGACCTGAGATGGCCCCGGAGGCTGCAGGGCCGTCACCCGCGCGGACCGTTGGGCACAGCTCCTCTCCCTCGAGGATGAGGCGGCGGGGCGCTGCGGCCAGCGATGGCGCTGCCATTGCGTGGCCCGAAACCTGACCACCTACGGCGTGTGCATCGAGATGATCGGCCACAAAGCCAAGCCACCGAAGGCGCGGCACTTGCAGGCCGACGTCCCCGAGGAGGACATCAGGGACCTGAAGGCCCTCCTGCGGGCGGACAAGCTCAGGAAGAGTAACGCCGCGGCGCTCAACCCCACGGACCCGCTGCAGCATCTGCCCAAGGTGGAGCCCCTGGTGCTTGGCACGGCGCTCAAGATGTGCCCGCCCGGGGAAAAGCAGCGGGAGGGACATTGGGCGCTCTTGGACAGCCTCGCGTGGGAAGACCTGCCCAACTTCAACTGGTGCGACCTCTACTTGCAGGTGGCACGGGGGCTCGATGACTCCGCGTGGGCAGGCTACAGCAAGAAGACCAGGAACA